CAAAATATAGCTGCAAATAATCGCCTTCGAATTCCCGTCAAGAAAGGTCCATTATCTCTGCAAAACATTACCGGTTAAAACCGGTTACCACTGAGTTGACCTGGACTCAATGCTAAGTGACCCCATGTGTGTCAGAATAGAACTATGCTCCATAAAGTTTTCAATGGCTGATTTTTTGGAAGTACCCTTTCTTGCAAGATGCCTCTAGGTGGACTCGAACCACCAACCTTTCGGTTAGCAGTTACGCATGCTGTTTGTACCATTAGGGATTTAGAATTGTTGCAGGACTGAACCAAGTGTCTTGGTCTGTGCCATCTGTCTCTCTCTCTCTCTCTCCACCCCACTGTGGAGCTCCCAGAGAATGAAAGGTTCCTGATGGTTTCTGCGTGGATCCCACATCCCCATGTGCTGGGTATCTCTGAGAATGAATGAAATAAATGAATGCATGAATGAAAGTGTGGCCAGGGCTCAGAAGGAAATTTGGACATGTTAAACATGTGGTATTCGGTGCATACTAGTCACTCAAGTAATGTTTGTTAGAATTGAGCTAAAATTTGGAACAGCACCAAACAAAGTTCAGAACTCCTTGAGGACTCCAACCTTCCTGTCATGCCTTCTCCTTCCCAGATGCTTGGAAGGCCTCTTGCTTTCTCTGGCTCTCTCAACTTTCTGCCCCATTGAGATAGGAGCTGTATGGCTATCTTTCTCACTCAGTAGTAAATGGCTAATAAGGGTAGTGCTTCTTATTGCATAAGAAATAGCATCAAAGCCTTGGCATCAAAGGATGAAATCTCCTATAGGGTTTCCTGGGGGCTTCAGGAAGCCCACCAAATGTTCCTTTAGGTTACTATGTAAGCGGTAGCCTATGGTTAGAAGTATTTACTGACAAAGGTGGATATTTCATTAGGTTCAGCTTTAGCTATTCATTGTCACCAATATCTTGAGCTGGTTGTGGGAGTTTTGATCCTCACACCTTGTTCACTTAATTATCTTTTAAACTATTATGTTTGAAGACTGGTATGACCTGTAGGCTCAAATCCAGTTGGGTCATCTAGGAGTTGGATGTAAGATGCCATAATCAACAAATTAAGGGAGGGAAGAATTTAGAATTCATTTCCTGTCCTTACTCCAGGAGTTGGTAAAATAAAGCATTCTCCTTTCGCGGAGCACAAATGGGAAAATATGGTTCCCGGTTTCATCTGGAAGGGAAGATGCAAGCTTAATAAATGATTTGCCATTTAATAATATTAATAGGTATTAATATAATATTATTTGAGAGTAATAATAGCTGCCTATCGTTTGCCAGACACTATATTGTATCCTCCACAAAATTGCTTCAATTTTTTAGAAGACTCATATGCCATATTATTAACAATTTATAGGAAGCCATGTCTCAGAGAGGTTAAGTAACTTACTCGAAGACACACAGCAAGTAAAAACGCCCAGCTGGAATGTTAAGCCAGGGATATCTGACATAAACCCTGGTTCTCAATGACAAGACACTGTTTTAGTGCACCGATTTATTGATAAAAAGACTAACATCCAGGGAACACTAGCTGGAAAATCTGGCATAGTTCTAGAAAAAGGCAGAGTGGATTAATTTTTTTGATCCTCACCCTTTCTCTAGTTGTCCTTATACTGTCTTTATCACTGCTTATTTGTCCACAGGTTAAAGGGCCTGTTCTCATTACTTTGGTGAAATTGGCCCTCCACTTAGAGGCAGAAAACCCTGAGATGCTTGCTGCTGTTTTAAAATGCCTTCTGCAGATTAGAAATACCTTTGATATACAACTTCAATTCAACTTAGCATTTAAAATGTACTTTGTAGCTCAAGTCTTTGTGGAAGGTACAATACAAAAAGGAGACAAAAAAATCCAATCTTTAAAATTATTTACTATTTTCCCTAAGCTTACAAGTATATATATTTTGATATGTCTCTTAAAAGGATTCAAAGCACTCCAAATTCTTACAACAGTGTGGGGTTAGTTTTACTCAAAGGTCAAGAAAATGTATGTTAAAGTAGACAATTTTTGGTACTTTTAAAAAGTGTAATATTCTATTGTATACTCCTGAGTTCAATGGACAATTGATTTGTTGCCTTTCAAACATTTGTTGATGCCCAGGTGCTCTCTGATTAAGTGTAGATTCTACATCAATGGTGGACCAGCAGGGCCACATCATTTTTCCATTTTTGCTCTATTTTTTAGGAGGAACGGCATCTGTTAGGTGAGGACACTGTTCTCTAGGTCGTCACAATGAACAAAAGAATTTTCAGCAGCTCCTTTCCGACCTACGGCCCGGAAATGCTTTCAATAGGAAGTTACAGTTCCGTTTTTCCAAGTTAGCATTTCCTGCGTCTTGGTTCTCCAGAATATGGGACCTAAAAATGAAAAATCGGAAGAAATAAGGGGAAGTCTCTGACTGTACCCTAGCAAATGAAGGCTTGCTTTCAAGCAGCCGTGGCCGGAAAGACTTCGTTTAATATTCAGTGTGCATATACCCCCCCCCCCAAAAAATTGGTACATATCGTAGAAATTTTACTGTCTTTAAGGACTTGAGCGATTTATTTCCCATTTCAGCCACGTTGTGCAAAACTCAAGTCCTGCAGACCGGCAACCAGCAACCATTGCTTAACACGTTTTAAAAAGAATTTTGATTGGTCTTTTTCTTTCTGAGTCTGTGTGCCAAATGACAGGTACCAATATCCATCCTCTTTTTCTATAAAATTCAAAATGATACATAAAAGAGCCCAGAAATGCTTTCCTTACAGGGACTTCGTGTGCTGATTTTAATTACTTTATATACACACATACATATATATATCCCCATTGTGCTTTTTTTTTTTTTTCTTGTATAAAATCAGTAACTACAATAACTAAAATCCACTTCTTCGGACAGTGTTATTTCAGCAGGTCTTTTTTACCGAGAAGCCAAAATACCCAGGGGCTGCGCAAGCTGTCCCTCTCGGCCACCTACTCGCATAGCCATGGCTCAGCCAAGCGTACTCAAGTAAAAGTTGCCCATCTCCCTAGCCCGGATCAGAGATTGCACGAGAAATGCGGGCAGCTCCCAAGCAATGGGGAAAGCACACGATCTGCTGCCGCGGCTAATGACCCTAAACCGCGTCCAGTGCCTGGGCAGAGGGGTCGTGACCTCCTCTCTCCTCCACCCATTCTACACCACTCCCGCTTTTATTTAGGGTCTGTTTTTAAGCAGAGCAGCTACTCATGCAACCCCTGGGGCGTTGACTGTTACTGAGTTTCTCCTTGAAACGCTTTCCTAATTGCATCTTCCTTAACCCAGCTGGCGAGAGGCGCGACGGGACTCCTGGATCCTCTCCACCGCCGCCCGCCATCACATGGCAGGAATGGCTTGGGTAACCAGGCATGGGCCGGCAGATAAAAAAGGCCCCCCAAGGACCCCCATCTCAATGCGGAGTTGTCAGCTGAAGTCTTTGTCCGCCCCTTTCTCCGCGCACTCTGCCGCAGGGCCGCGCACTCCCGCAACTGGCCGGCAGGTGGAGCCGTCGGTTCACGATGAGCCGCAGCCGGGCAGAGTAGGCGTTTCCAGCTCCCCGCGGTCGCCCTCCCGCTGGGATCTAGGCTCCGGAGGAAATCCCGGCCCTGCCCCAAAGGGATCCGGAGGAGGGACGGCCGGGGAGGAGAGAAGGGTGGCTCGTCGCTGGGAATCGGGTCCCTTTAAAACGCCCAGGAAATGTACCGAGTCGCGTCAGGAGCGGGTTCCCGGAACGCGGGCTGAGCAGCCGTCGCCGGGCTGCGCTCAGGTGGCTTCGCCCGCGACCCGGGCATCGGGGGACAGACCATGGCCAGGTGGTGTCCGTGTCCCCAAGAGGACAGTGACACCCACAGCGCCGGGGCAGGGGCAGCCGCATGGGTCTCCGCGGATCCTGCGGCCCACTACCGAGGCCCGGGGCGGAGAGGGCTGTCGGGACCCGCGTAGGGAAGCTGTCGGCGCGCGGAGCTGCAGCGACGGCCCGGCAGCCTCCGAGTCCCTATGTCCCTTGTCTTTACACCTGCAGACTCCCGCACACCACTCAAGCCCTTCGCTTCCACCCCCGGCGCCCCGGAATTTCTAGGCCTGGTTCCAGGGGCTCCCCCGGAAAACCCACAACTGGCTCCTTGCAGCCAGGCCGTCTCTGTCCGTCTTGCGCGGCAAGGAGCCCTGTCCCGGAGCCGGAACGCGACCCACCACAGGCCTCCCCGCTGCTAGAAAGTCACTTGTTCAGGCTCCGGAGACAGTAACTGAGCCCTGCTGTGGGCCAGGCGCTGCACTCAACATTGGCGACTGACGAGGTCACCTCTCTCCAGGAACCTGGGAGCCTGGGAAGACATGAGGAATTAAGTCACAAAACTCCGCAAAAGAGCATTTCAGATGGAAGAGCGCCAAAAAGACACAAAACAGGGCAAGGTGGCAGAGGGTGGCGGTAGGTGCGCGCCAAAGCACGTGTGCGGCCCCAGCCTAGGTGCACGGGACGCGAACACGTATACTCCCAGAAAGTAGCAGAGGGCAAAGGGACAGGGCAACGTGATCCTTATTTTATTGCAATAAAAGAGCGTTTTCCTAGATCTCAAACCGCCCGTGGAGGGGGACAGGGGAGTACCCATCTTTCTTCGGCCCCCCAACCCCCATCAATCGGAGTCTTTGGAAGCTCCCTCCGACACCCCGGGGCTCGACTCCCGAGGTGGCGTCCGTAGATCCGGTCGGCTTCCTAGGACGAGACCGGGAAGAGGAGGTTCTCGCCCCCTCGGACCAGGGAGACACTGAGCCCTAAGGAGCCCGGAGGCGGGGCCTGAAGGGCGGGCTCTGCTGGTGGGGCGGGGCCGGGCCGTCCAGTCTGCGCCGCCATTGGCCGTAGAGCCAGGACTGGCGGCGCGCGTCATGGGTCGGCCCGCCCCTTGGCAATGTCTTCAGTCTGCCGCACTCCCTAACTTAAGCATTTATTCCACTGGGATAGAAGCGGTAGGAGCATCGCTGGCACCGGCGAGCCATGGCTGGGATTTTCTATTGCGTCTTCTTTTCGTTTCTCTTTGGGATTTGCGACGCTGTCACCGGTTCCAGGGTGTACCCGGCTAATGAAGGTGAAAGCGGGGTGGCCTTTCTGGGGTTGGAAGCAGAGAGGGGACGATCGGCAGGGAATGGTCCTCGGAGCGCGGGGCTGGCGGGGGAGAGGGGAGCCCGGCGTGCGGCGTGCGCCCCCACTCCGGAGCAGGGGGCCGGGGTGAAGGGATCTGCGAAGGCGCGGCGGGGAGCGACGGGCAGCCTGCGCTGGGGAGGCGACCCGAGCCAGCCGCCGGGCTACCCAAGTTTGTAGCGAAAGGCCAAAGTTTATCAGCCTCCGCTGGTGGGGCGTCTCGAGACACCTCAAGGGGATGCACCGGGAGCCGACGGCAAGATTGAAAAAACAAGAAGGTTTTTTAGGCCAAATTCTCGTCCCCCACCCCCTTTCCCAAACCCCGGGCCAAGGGAAGACCCAAGCCTGGATCGCGGCGAGGTCTGAGGGTCCTCGGGTTCCTGCGGAAGCCTTCCAGGCTTCGCGTTCCGCAAAGTTTCCGAACCCCGCGCTCCCCTGACCCGGCTGCGGGGCCACCGCGGCGCCGCGGTCGTAGTGCCGTTTGCCCGTGCCGGTGACCTGATTTCTAGCGCCCGGCGTCAGATACCTTTCTCCCCGCCCGAGGGTGCGATCGCGGGTCCGGGGCACCCCGAGACCTCCAGATTCGTGCCCGCAGACCTGGAGAATCCGCCGGCAAGTTGATCGGAGGCGAGTTTGCACCCTCAGAATTGTGCACTGGGCTAGTTTGAAAGGAGCGTGCGGAACCGACGGGACCCGTCTGAGTGCTCGGTTTTCTGCGCGTCTGCTCGGGGCCAGACGTGCTGAGCGGACTGAGTGTGCGAATGTGTCTGTGTTGGGGGCGAGGTGAGCATTTCATTTGGTTTCTAATGATCCCAGGGGCGAGCTGGATGTGCGTGTGTGCGCGTGTGCGTGCGTGTGTGTGTGTGTGTATATGTGCGCGCGCGCAAACGCATGTCTGTGGGTGCGCGGGTGCCTGCGTGGACGCGGACGCTTAGCGGCCGTGCGCGGGTGACCTGAGTGTGTGCGCGTGTGTCCTGGCGGGTTTGCTCAGGCTCGCGCCTGAAAACATCTAGCCTTGTATCCTTCTCGCCGAACCCCCCTCGCCCCTCCCGCCATCCATCTATCCACTTCGCCAGGCTTCCGTCGCGTCCACCCATCCCTGTGCAACCTATCATTTCCCCTGTTCCGAAGGAGGGAGCCAAAACCCAACTTAGCCTTGGCCGGGCAGCCGGTACCCAGAGCCCGCCAGACGGAGGCTCCGAGACTCACACACCTGCCAGCAGACACTGCTCGGAGGAAAGGGGCGCTCTCTCGCTCCGCTCCCCCTCCCTCCGACGTGGCGCCAGGTGCCACCTCGGCCGCCGCCGCCGCCCCTCGGTCCCCAGGGTCATTCCCCTGAGCGGAATTGTAGATCCCGCGTTCTCCCGGCTGCTTCGCACACTTGTTACCACGTCCCCCGAGACCTCTCTCGCCCCAGACGTAGAGGCGGTTTTTTTTCTTTTTACCCCTTTCTTGCTTTCTCTTTTGGAAACAAAACTTTGGAGGCCTAGACAAAAAGGCGCTGATGTAGCTGTAGGCTGATGTAGAAAGAAGGGGAGTCTACCCCCCTCCAGCCCTTCCTCCCCCTTGAAATTAATTCATTTTGTTGCTTTTTATTCGCGTCACGTTTCCTTTTCTCCTTCTTACCCTCCCTTTCTACTCCCTCCCTTTTTTGTAAATTGGGTCTTATTGTTCCCTTTGTGTCCCTAATCCACCTTACTTAAATCCAAATGGATGTAGCGGGCTTTTCTCTAGGGACCGAGGAGGGAGAATGAGGAGGGGGCGCAACTCCGGGCGGGAGCGACCCAGGGAAGGCTCTACATTTTAAAATAATTAACAGACCCCAGGAATTGAGGCTTCTCAGGGAAACCAGGAGAAAGCGGCAGATTTTAACTCCATTGACTTAGGGGTGAAATGAGAGGGGAGGTGGGCAGAATCCAGGGGGCTGGGGTGAGGCGGAGAGTTGGGGTGCTCCGGAGCAAGTATGAAGGCTTCCAATTCCCACCCATCCCCCAGCCTGAAGAGCAGCCTTGCTGATCAAATTAATAACCCAGTGGTTCCTTTGAGATAGGCCTTTCGACCCGCGGGCCCGCAGGATCTCGGTGGGAAAGCAAATGTGGAGAGGTTGGAAATTCCTTGTGTCCTTTCGAGTGTCCTCAGTGCCTAGGACTGTTCCAGCGTGGGAGGAGCACAGCTGCTCTGTAGCCGCCTCCACCCCTCCCCAGCTCTTAGGTGTAGCCCAAGCATACTATACCCGTTAGGCAGCACCCCTTAGCTAAAATTCAGTGATTTCCTCTGGAGCAGAGGATGAGCCCTACTTTCCTCAAAAAGACCTGGGAGAGACAGAATACTTGAGTACATTTGCATTCTAATTTTACAAGTCTGTCATTCCCTCCTTTGAAACGATGATATTTTAAAAAGCAGCAGATACCACATTCAGAGCCTGTTTAATGGAGGGGGACAAAACGGTAGGGAAGAGAACCTTTCCATGACCCCTCCGGTACTCGCTTATAGAATTCGCTTGTGGCTTTGCCACCACAATGATGAGTTATGCGGTCCTCTGAAACTTGCAAAAACAAATAATTCTGGTAGACGCCAGACAGAGATGAATGCAAATTTTGCTCTGGAGTGTAACCACCCTCCATAGATATATTTATTTTTTCAAATTGTATTTGAGATTCTCTATTCATCCTTTTTAGAAAATGAATCAAACTGAGTCCTTGGATGGAATTTTAAATGCTAAGCAAGTTAAATAAATAAAAACCTGCAGATTTTAAAGAGGAGAGAAGATCAAGTGAGTAATGATTATTTACATAAGTGAGAGCAAGTTTAGGTTTTGATCAGAGTTTGATATGCGCAGCCTCAGCACATATGGAAACGCTCAGGCAAATGGTTTTTGTAGTATTGGCTTTTTTTGTGATTGGAAATTAATCTATTTGTCTTTGTTTCTTTGCAGTTACCTTGTTGGACTCCAGATCCGTTCAGGGAGAACTAGGGTGGATAGCAAGCCCTTTGGAAGGAGGGGTAAGTTCTGAGTTGCACTCTGATCCAAAGGGTGAAAAGGAGTGATTAGCAACTTTCCAAGCATCCTAATGGCTTGATCCTTGATTGTGGCGAGGGGGTCAGATTTCCACCATGGCCTGTGAAGTGAATTACGCTTTGTTGGAGAAATCCTATACTCCCTTTGGATAGCTCTGTCATGGAAGAGCTAGAAACCGAAAGGGCAGAAAGGGGTTTCAGAATTAGGAGATTGGTAGAGGCCTAGACTCAGATGCGTATTTAAAACTAAAATCCCTGCAAGATATACGATGCGGGGACCAAATTAGAATTTATGGCTCTTACCGTGACTGCCATGAAGTCCTGACAGGGTTAATTTTAGAGCAATTGTTCTTTTTCCAGATGAGGAAAATGACTAAATAAGGATACCAGAGAGAGGACATTTCTAGTTGTACCAGGTGCAGGGTTAGTTCTGCACAGAAGCAGTGGGGAGGCATCTTACCTTCTTGTCACAACCCTCAATCAGCTGCTGAGAGAAAGCCGTGTAAACTTGTGCCAGGGCCATGATATATGCAGAAATAAACAAACAAACAAAAAAAAACCTATGTGTTCGTGTTCAATGTAAAAAGTTTAAGTATCTAGAATCTCGGCTTTTTCGGGATCAGGGAGGCTGGATTATCAGGTATGAGAGAGCTCGTCACGGTTCGTTTCTTCTTGGATTTGTAGTGTTTGCTCTCACTGCCTCCATAAGAAGGGTCAGGGACTAGAACTGGATCAATGGTCACACCCTTGTCCCCTCAATAACAGGTCTGAGTGAATGAGAATCAGCTTTGCAAAGAAATTAGTACAACATGTAACTCTGGCTGCTGCCAAATTGAAATAATTCTCCAATCCTTTAAAAATTAAGCAAATCATCCTCCCTCAACATGCTTGTTATTCTGTGACTGAGTCAATTGACTGAAAACAATGGGGATGAAAAATTAGGAGTCTTGTAATGCCAGCACCCACTGTGGAGTAACATACCCAGTATGGTGTTCCACACCTGTCCATTGAACAAACAATATGGGATTAAAAAATAAAGATGTCTAGGAACTGTTATAGAAGACGTGCTGTGAAAGTAAGACCAGGCAAGGACATCTGCATGAAATTGGGGGGAATTTTTGGCTGTTTTTTTCTAAGCGGATCTTTTCATCCTTGTGAAATAAAATGGAGATTGCCTTGCCTTCGTGTTTTTCTGCCTGAACTTGACTGCAGTTGGTTTGGTCTCTGCTGAAAAATTCTAGTCTGCCTTCAAAACCACTTTTTCTTTTTTTTTTTTAAAGGAGAGAGAGTGATTGGCAGGCCTCTGGCAGTGTAGACAGGCTGTATTCACCACTGATTGCAGGCAGTTGCCCTCATCCTTTGAAAGTGAAGAAAGGTACAGCTTTATCTTGGGGAGAGTCAGACTCCTGCTTAATCCTATACCCTGGAAAGGTCACTGATTCAGAGGACGCTTTCCCATGCTACACCGGGAGTATCTCTCTGTAGGTTAAAATACTTTAGAATGGCTAGCAGAATTGAGGGTGGAAGGTATCAGGACTTGTATTAATACATTGAATGTGTCTTATTTTTCTTACTGACTAGAAGAGAGAAAATATATCCAGAATTACTTTAGACTTGACTTGTTTCACTAAATATACGTGTGGCCTATTTAAAAGCAAGGAGTGCCACATTTTTAGAGCACAGTTGATGGTCTATCTAGTTTCTGGAAAGCTTTTACTGCAATTTAATAGGCTGCAGACATACCCCCCCTCCCCCCCAAGGACTGCTGAACGAGCACCTGGTCACTTTTTCTAGACACACAACTTCTTTTGGTTTTCTTGAAGTCTATTGAAAAAAAAAAAAATACTACGTAAAGCTGATTGTATATAACTCAGAACATTTTATGGGCTAAATGTAGGCAAGCTTTTTGTTTTTGTTTTTAATATTAGGTATGTAACATTTTAAACATTGTAAGAAGTTAGAAATGAAATTTTATTTGTGTATATTAGAGTTAGTCAGTCCAAAATACATAGTAGCCACTTAAATTATGTGCTAAATTATAAAGTGTAATTAATCTTTAACTTTTGTCATTGAAGAAGATTTAGAGTGAATGGGATGAACTGGATATTTACCAAGAAGGGGTGGATTGGCTTAAAAAAGTTCTTTCCCGCTTAGGGTAAAAGCATATTGAGGCTTTTGATTATTCTGAAATCTCTACTTGAGTTAAGACATTTTACATCTTTCTTGGCTGGAAATTGGGATAGTCATTTTGTCTGATAATGACATTTTGTTGTTGTAGTTGTTATTCAAAAAGAAAGAGAAACGTAATTTGGCACTACCACCAAGCAAAATATGAAATATATGTAAGCAGAGAGGCAACTTACTCTTCTCTCCTTTGCCCATAAGAACCACTGAGCATAACATAAAAATAATGGAAAGTGATGGCTCCTGATGGCAACATTGTAGCAAAAAACTAATTTCTTGTCAGTGTTCATTTAAAGGCGTATATTGAGTTGCTGACACTGTGATTGTGAAATACAAAGCCAAGGAGAGATTTGTCACTGTTCTGATGAATTGATCAATGTGGTTAGGTAATTAAGTTCAGGCTGAAAAATTCACATTAAACCTGAGTTAGCCTGTGTGGACTCTGTGGAGGTATCCCTATGTATTTTCATTTACATTGATAGATGTGTTTTTCCATATTCCCTTTGTTCTGAGATGGGAAACATGTTGAATTTTTTTTTTTAGGGGGTGGCTATTTTTGGATTTGCATGAATCTCCCCAAATAAGTAAATTACTGGTGATTTATTGCTGACTGGATAAAAGAAATTTTAATCACCACAGGCACTTAATCCCTTCCCAGTTCCAACTTTCATAATGGTGGCAGCTGAAAAGGATACAGAATTTAATGCATTATGGCCTTTGCATAGTAACATTTCCATCCATTAATAGTTTTCCAATGCACAGATGGAAAACCTGTTAAAAGATACATTATGATTCTATGTACTTCATTGGATTGAATGGAGCTTTAAGTGGAGCTATTACAAAGTACGGATTTTTTTAAACTATCTTCTTTTTTTTTTTTCTTTTAATTATATTCAAGTGTTAGATACTTAAGCTGATTTATGCCAGATCTATATAAATGCATTACTGTAGTAGTTAATGAAGAATTGGAGACCGCCAAGCAGCCTGGTAGGAACCCCAAACCTATCTCGCTGCTTTTAGGATTATTTTTAAAAGCTATGGCGAACATGAGCCCACTCCTCTAGTCACAGAGAATTCAGACTGTCCCACCATTTGGACCTTTGTGTTAAGTAGATTGCAAAGGAAACCCTACCATCCTTGTTTAAATTTCTTGGACTGTGTATCCTAAATGCCTCTTACTATTTTATTTTCTATATCTGCAGAATATTTAGAGGCAAAGCAGGTGCGCATTTTTGTTTTCTTAAGTGCCTGTGTTTTAAAAATAAGAAAATGCACGTGCTGTTGAGTTGAATAAATGTTCTTGAAGAGTGCCCTACCATTAGAAATGACGGCATGTTTGAGAAAGCCAATCATAAGATTTACTGTCTTCGCAGGATTACCTAAACCAGAATGGTGGGATTTTCTTTTCCCTTTTAAAGAGTAGGGACGGTGCCAAAAAAATGGACTGACATTTTTTTAGGTATTAGGGAGCAAAGTTCTGACAGGAGCACCACTAATTAACTGATCATTGTCTTCTTTGGCAAACTCTGCTCTTCCTGCCCTTAATTTGCAGGTCTCTGCTCAGTTGTTGAAACAAAACACATACGAGTTTTTCATTTATGAGTAAATTTTGAACTGTTGCCACTTTAAATTGTAGTTGTTGTAATAGGTGAATTGAAGGTCGTTAGACCACCACAAGGAACTGCTGAGAACTCATAAGCAATAAGTCCACCATAGCCTCTGGATTTTAGGCAAAAGAATGACACAATTAAAAAAAAAAAACCAAAAACCTTCTTTGAAAAAATTATTGACGTCTCTCCCTTGAGATGCTTTCTTAATGAGGTTTGGTGCTCACTGCTATTCTTTGCTATTGAAACAAAAATAGTCAATGTCCTCTGAGATTAAAACAGCACTGAGGAGTCACTGTATGATGAAAGTTGGTAATTGATGCATTTCCTTTGGATCTTTGCAGTGGGAGGAAGTGAGTATTATGGATGAAAAAAATACACCGATCCGAACCTACCAAGTGTGCAACGTGATGGAACCCAGCCAAAATAACTGGCTACGAACTGATTGGATCACCCGTGAAGGGGCTCAGAGAGTGTACATTGAAATTAAGTTCACATTGAGGGACTGCAATAGCCTTCCGGGTGTCATGGGGACTTGCAAGGAGACTTTTAACCTGTACTACTATGAATCAGACAACGACAAAGAGCGTTTCATCAGAGAGAGCCAGTTTGCCAAGATCGACACCATCGCTGCCGATGAGAGCTTCACTCAAGTGGACATTGGCGACAGAATCATGAAGCTGAACACCGAGATCCGGGATGTAGGGCCACTGAGCAAAAAGGGGTTTTACTTGGCTTTTCAGGATGTGGGGGCATGCATAGCCCTAGTCTCGGTCCGCGTGTTCTATAAGAAGTGTCCACTCACCGTTCGCAACCTGGCCCAGTTTCCTGACACCATCACAGGGGCTGATACGTCTTCCCTGGTGGAAGTTCGAGGCTCCTGTGTCAACAACTCAGAAGAGAAGGATGTGCCAAAAATGTACTGTGGGGCAGATGGTGAATGGCTGGTACCCATTGGCAACTGCCTATGCAATGCTGGGCATGAAGAGCGGAATGGAGAATGCCAAGGTAAGAGGAGCCATATTGTACTTTTCATTAGGGCTTAGTGCACGTAATTAAATCAGAGATGAGACTAAATGGAGTCAAGCCAGTAATTAGCAGCCCCTGTGGGATGTGGTGGGACAGAGGGGTCTAATGAGTAAGTGCTATAGCTCCAGGTGGCAAGGCTAAGACTCACAGAATAAATGATGCTGCTGTAATCAGCAGAAGGCCAGACACATTTGCTAACAGGCACTTAGATCTGAACCCGCTTGATGTGCCCTCTGAAATGTAAATGAACAAGCTGAAGAAACGGGCTTGATTGATCCCTACTTAAAGAGGGCGAACACGTTTCTGAGCCATGGTTTTCCTGTCTAAAGACTTGGTAAAATGACAAGGATGGTAAATATCTCTGCTCTTATCTATATGTGTGAATGACTCAAATGTGAAATTAGGGTTGGGTTGTTCTAATTCCCTTCTGCTGATTACGATCAAACTGTGGGAAGAAAGTTCTTTTTTTCCCCTACCTTGCAGATCAGTGTAGATGTGGCCCAACAAAGTGGAGGGACTGAATGTTTCGACTACATTCAGTTCCACTGAACATCCATTGATAAGGTCTCTAAGTGAAATTAATCTTGATGAAAGACCTTTATTTCCCTTAGGAGGTGATATAGAGCTAGTAAGAGTCCTTATCTGATCTGCCCTCAGAGGCAGTAGTAAATTGTGATCCATTTTGATTACTTGAGTCTGAAGAAATCTAGGCATTTTTTATGATGTTAATTACTGTTTATCATATGACTAACATGATTTTTCTCTGCATCTAAAGTTCAGTGTATGCAATACATTCTTATTTCCCCTTTGTGTCATACTACCAGGGAATTTGTGTCATCTTTTTCTTTATAGCAACTTTGTATCTGGGTAAGAGAGGAGAGTAGTCCACATTTAGGTAATGGCTCCTGTAGTGTGTGGATTAAGGCTTAAAAAAATCAATTATCCCACGGTTTTGCTTTGCTTGGAGTTTATGTTCAGTGGCTACCAATAGTAGGCTGCTGCCAACTTTATTGTTATTATTGTTACTACTAAACAGTTACAATGTAACTGGTCCCATTTATGGAACAGGTCAGATGAATCTTTTCACAGGGAGATTGCTGAGCTGTGGACTGGATTGCCACATGGTGCACCTGATTTGGTGATTAAAGAGCCTGAAATAACTGACTGCCAAACAATTTGTCTGGCATTTCAACCATGTTAATGACAGGGTGGGATTAACTATGGGGGCAATCCACTTGACTGACTGGAAATCAACATTTATAACCGGAAGAAAATTACATTTTTGGTAATTTAGTGTTGTAGAGTTATGTGTTTCCACGGTCATACTTTATACTTTTCTAAAGTGTAGTTCCTGATCTGGTATAGCTCTTTCTGTGAGTAGCTAACAATGGAAGTACTTTCACTGAATTCTAAGTGAAATAGAATTAAGGCTAGTTATCTTTCTGGCTGACCTAGAATGAAAAAGTAAACTTGTATACTTGCAAATTTAAAAATTGAAATTCAAAGAGTTTTTGTTTGGTTTGGTTCTTTTACAAATGTTAATTCCTCGTCTTTGTTTTAGTTTGCTTTTGACTAGAAACTACCACATATGCTGTATTGAATTGAAACCCTGAGTATATTCTGGTATTAGTTTTAAAAAACATGTAAGTGCATTGTTATTGGCAACTAAATTACAATGATCATAGCAGGAACAGTGAAATGAAGAGTACAATGACACCGCATCACATTTGAGAGTAAATTATCCTGCCTTTTCGATTTTTGTAAGACAGGACTTGCACATCTTCACATGTCAAGAATCTTATATATATTTAAAAAAAAAAAAACATTGACTTCCATTTCCTGCTGAAATGTACACTCTTCTAGCATTAGTACATCTCTGTGTATCTAATGTCATTGATTTTCAATTGTCACAGAGCCCAGTAACTCATACATTGCTACATTGTGAAATTCCTTGACATTTTTACAACCCAAATTAGAAGAAAAAGAGAAAAAGATGGAAGGGGAGTAAATGTAAAGGCAATTGAACATTTTAGTGGCTGGCTTTATGGAAATAATCTTGGGAATCCAGTTAATCATGTGGTTTATGGAGGAGGAGGGGGCCAATGTTTCAGGCCCAGGCCATTTCTGAGCAAATTATTCCCAATACAAAGATTATTTCATGAAAGGGAAGGTTGATTGAACCATTTCTGAGACTCCTCAATGTTTTCAGCATGTTACCAGACTTTTTTTTTTCTTTGCTACTTGTAAAATGATTAACTCTTTGAACAAGACACTTACTGCACAAAATCTTTTACTTTATTGTTTGTTTTTAAGATTACCAGAATCTGATGAATTTAGTCAAGAAAGAAAAATGTGAATGACAAAGGGTTCTTTAAGTTCCAGACTTGTGTGTGAGACTTCTAAAAGATGGCTCAAGACTGTAAAAATGTTGGGAGCAATAAAAATGATTATCTCGATCCTTGAAATCAGTACTGGGCTGTTAAGAGAAGGATCAAAGTAAAGCAGAAAGAACATAGAGACAAGGGAATGTGTCTCAATTTGGTCGCTTAGCTATATGACCTTGAGGATCTTTCCTTAGCCCTCTGAGCCTTGGTTTGCTCATCTGTGAAATGGGATGATATATAATAATTGTATTTAGCTTACAGGCTCATTATGAGGGCTTGGGGTGTCCGATTGGTGAAGGTCACCTTGTAGATCATAAAGCATTAAACCAAGGTTAATGCTAGTTTTCTTTTATCACTCTGTTCTCCCCAAGGTAATAGCTGTTGACTTTTAAGGGTGCTAAGTTGAACTAGTAAAAAGGGAATCCATCTCTCATCTACTTTCTGAAGTCAAGACTAAAGAAAGAAAGCATTACCCTTGTCCTAGTAAAGAATAATGGCCATCTCACACTTCATATTGAAAATGATATTTGGAGAGTGTCATTTTTTTCCCTCTCTAGGAAAGAGAACTTTCTTTGCCTGAGAGAAAAGTGATTGGGGGTGGATCCAGAAGGGCTAGCATGTAAAGAGAGCTGGCCCAAGTCTTCAGAACTCAGGCAGCAGGCCCCACCCCAATTGTCTTTTCAATGAGTCCACTGTGGCAGGACAAATAGAAGGACAGGTGAAAGGTCACCTACTTCCTCATCCATCTTCCTTAGGGTCTGGGAGGTCAGAGTGAAGATTGATTAAGATCTTAAATGTTTGACAAAGGATCCTTGGGCAAAAATGGCCAGGGCGGGTGGGGGCCTGGGTTGTGCTGTTGTTTGAATCTAACCCTGATCATCTGCCTGAGTCCTCAAGGCACCTTGAGGACAGAAGGACACTTCCTCTTGCAGTTCTTGCTTCTAAGCAATGCATGCTAATGTAGAGGAAGGATGAAGAGCCATCAAGAAGTGTCAAGAGTGTGGAGGGTGAGGGTGGGCTTGCCCCAAGCAGCTGCAAGTTCATTCCAGCTTCTGCTCTTGAATAACATTTTGTGAAATGATTTTGTTTAGTCTCAGCAGGACAACAAAGAGTGTTAGCCACTCATCTGCCCTCTCAAGGAGAATGTATGGCTGGAGTTAGCAGCGGTTTGAACTTGCCTGGTGATTGGATACAGAGGATAATGAAATTGTGCTAGTGAGTGAGGCCTTGTCAGGCTGTTGGAGAAAGGAAAGGAAGTTTACCTCTGACACCCTTCCCGTACCCCCAGTGAGGAAACAATCCAGATGTTTTACAGGGTTGTTTTCATTACTACAGAAATATTAAGCAGAAGGAAGAGAGGAAAAGATTCTCTACTAACTTATTTTTCCCTTAATTAAAAAGCTGAAACATGAAAGTCTTCGCTCAAGATTTGCATTCAATTTTTGTGAAATATTAATAAGCGAAGTTTTTGGAGAGAGTGTATAAAAATCATACTAATAAAATGGAATGCATGCTTATGGAGTCAGCCTAAGGCCAAAATAATCACGACTGTGACAAATTAAGCTAGGTAGGAATCAAACCTTGCTTAAATGTACAATTTTGGTATACATTGTTTGAGGTATCCTGTCTAGGACTTATTTTATATAGCATTACATATATAACGGCTTCCTGTGGGAAAAAGATGTCTTATCAAAACATCTGTTTTAAGAAGGAACACGATCGAAATGCTTTGATGGCTGTAAAATAGAAATAGTTCAAATTTGTGCTCTTAAAAGAGGGTAAGAGCAGCATCCCCCCCCAAAAAAATCTTTGTTTTCCTAATACACCATAGAAGGACTTTAGGAGGAAGAAGTAATAGAAAGGAAGCATTTAAAATCTGGTTCAGAGAGATGCTGTTTCATATCCTTTCCACTTTGAAATTTTTCTCCTACCTTTGAATCAGGTCTTTAAGAAGCAACTGCTTGAATCACCTGGCTGCTTTTATCTCTGGCTTTGAAGCCTGCCTGTGATCATTGAAAGACGTGATTCTTTATACACAAGAAGAGCAGCGCTTAATTATTGTCCTTTTTCTCTTCTACTTTTTTTTATTTTTCCTTCTTTGTGTGATCGGGTTTCTTTTGTGAGTGTGAATCATATGATGATCTCTGTTTTGGGTTCACCAAAGCATCACATAGAAATTATCTCAGGGTCTTTTGACTATGATATTGAAGATTGGATGACTTCTTTTAGCCAAGCTGAGCTTCCTTGTACCTTTCAAACATAATTAAGACATAATTATTCTGTTAAGACTTGGACCTTTAGGAAAAAGACTGATTAAAGGGCTTTTCAGTTACTACCATGTAAAGCAGAAGTGGTCATAATATAAGTTTGACTTTCACATCTTTGAAGTTTGCTCCTTTTTTGTTACATTTAATCGATGAATTTAACATTAGCAAAGAAATGCATGCTTGTCTTCTCAGAACAATTTCAAATGCAAAATTGTATAAAGTAAAAAGTATAAGTCCACCAACCCCGCCAAAACACACACACAGACACTTGATTTTCAAACTTCCACTCCAACTTTTTATGAGTTACCACTCTTTGCAATATGACAGG